ATTGACAAATAGCAAAGTGCTCTCTGTACTTTTTTTAGTATAAAAGATGTCCGTAAAACAACAAGCTTTGAATTTCATTAGTAATGTGATCTCTTTCTTTTTAAAAATGTCACAAACAGTCTAAAAACAGCAAGTATCTGCATAAAACTTCTATTGATTTTGCTTCTTATTTATATAATTTCTATATGTCTATTCTCTTAATATATCTCCAAGCCTATTATACTATATCATTACAGAACCCCTTTAAGGTTATCTTGTATATCCTTCAATTAAATTCAGAATTTAATAAACCCGTAAACAACATAGTTTTGAACTGTGAAGGTCCACATAGATGTGGATTTTCTTCTGCCTCTGCTACTCCTGAGACACCAAGACCACCCCCTCCTCATTCTCCTCCTCAGTCTACTCAATGTGATGACAAGGATGAAGATCTTCATGATGATCCACTCCTACTCAATAAATAGTAACTATATTTTTTCTTCCTTATGATTTTCTTGGTAACATTTTCTTTTCTCTAGTTTGCTTTATTGTAAGAATACAGTATATAATATATATACTAAGTAAGTGTTGACTGTTTACGTTATCAGTAAGGCTTCTGGTCAACAGCAGTAGCCTATTAAGTAGTTAAGTTTGGAGGTAGTCAAAAGTTATGAGAAAGTTAGAAGTTATATATGGACTTTCAGCTGGGTCAGATATTGGCACCCTAACCCGTGTTGTCCATGGTCAACTACACCTGCTGCTAACATTATCCTGACAGAAAGTCATATACATTAATGTCAACACTTCTAAAGGGAAGGAGCTCAGTACATCTTGAAGTAAATCATTCAAATTCTGGGTAACTCTAAACAGCTAAAAAGTTCTTCCTCATATGAACTAAGATCACATCTCCCTGTAACTTATTCATCACTTCTATATCAGCACCCTCTCAACTTAAAACATGTGGAAAATATACAAAATAATGAAAACTTTAAAAATATGGGAATATTCCATCCCTACTGAGTCCTCTTGAGTCCCTTTTCTTGAACTAATTTATTCGACTGCTTCCCAATATTTAATCCAATGTCCCATTCTCTTAGGATTTTACACATTTTCCCTGAGCATATCAAGACAGCTTCCATTTCCACTTATATGCTAATTATCAAATTTGCTTTTCCATACCAGATCATTTATCTGACCTTAAAATCCCTCTGACTCCTCCTATTAATAAATGCCCACCTGGATTACACAGCAATTCAAACCTAACCTTTCCAGAATGGATCTTTTTTATGTCTCAACCCTCTTCTATATATCCTAGAAAGTCAGGCTCAATTTTCATTCTTATTTCTTTTGTCTTTCCTCTTTCCTCCTCCCTTTATATACAATCACTACATTCTATCAATTTTATTTCCTACATAATTCTCGAGTCTGACCCCTCCTATTTCCGCTAGTCACAACTTTGGTTTAGATCTTACTGAAGAGGTATTCATGTTAACATATGATATAAAATTCAAAGAATATAAAGGAATATTCAATAAAAAAGTAAATCTTCCTTCCATTATTCGCCAGTGCCCTACCCCTACCAAACCTCCCACCTCCCCACCAAGTAGCTGCTGAGTATTTATCTAGAGATTACTAGAATGATTTTTTTATTATGATCTTCTTCTTTGAGTCTTTTCTTTCCCTTCACCCCATCCTCCTCCCTGCTGCAGAACGGCCTTTCTAGAACATAAATCTCTAACGGCACGTGGTTTGACAGAGCTATAACTTAAGCCTATGCTTCACCCAGCCAGAAGGGGAATAAACTAAGATCAAATTTCAAATATCCTATAAGAC